GACTGCACCACTGCACTCTAGTCTGGGTGACAGGGCGAGACTCCATCTCAAAAAAAAAAAAAGATTGCTCTGGCTGCTATATTGAGAAAGTGCTATAGAGAGGCAATATTAGTGCAAATGTCTACAGTACCTGAAAATCAATGCTTCTGCATAGGATAAGTGCCCTACAAATGTTGGCTATCATTATTATTGCTGTTATCATACACAATCCACGTTGTTGCACGTATATAGTTTTCCTTCCTCTGACAAAGTATATATTCCTTGAGGATAGAATTTCAGTAATCTTATATAAATGAGTATATCAGAATTATCTGAAGATTTTACCAAACTACACTGTGTGTCCTCCAACCAGCAGGATTCTGCTCCAAAAGGCCTGGGACACAGTCAAGGCATGTACATGTCATGGGCTCCCCAGGGGATTCCAATATTGTGCCTTAAAACCACTAGTCAGCGCCATTCCTCTTCTACATCATCCTCTGATACAACACAAAATCAATGTTTAACAGATTTCTAGAATTAATGACACACATGTTCAATTACGAAGTAGCTGCTTTGAAGCAAATGTAGTAAGAGGTTCACTACTGCTTAATTAGTTATATTTCAGGCCTCAAACAACCAGAGGTATAAACCTTCACCTAAATCCATCTAATATTAGAGTTTCATGGAACCTGACTTTCAACTTGAAAGAAAATACTCACACTGGCCAGGCGCAGTGGCTCACACCTGTAATCCCAACACTCTGGGAGGCCGAGGCAGGCGGATCACAAGGTCAGGAGACTGAGACCATCCTGGCTAACACGGGGAAACCAAGTCTCTACTAAAAATACAAAAAATTAGCCAGGCGTGGTGGCGGGCACCTGTAGTCCCAGCTACTCAGGAGGCTGAGGCAGGAGAATGGCTTTTATATTTAATACTCCGTGAGGCAGAGCTTGCAGTGAGCTGAGATCCCACCACTGCACTCCAGCCTGGGCGACAGAGCGAGACTCCATCTCAAAAAAAAAAAAAAAAAGAAAAGAAAAGAGAAAATAGTCACACCAAAAATGCAAATCACTTATAAAAAAATAAAATTTGTCTATATTAAAATTTCACTACCAAATACAACTTAGCAGTGGTAAAGTAACATGGTAAAGTGGTAAAGTATACAACTTAGCATTTGTAAAGTAACAGCACATTCTCATTTATTTTCCCTAAGAATTTCGTGTAAAGTAGTTTTTTTTGTTTGTTTTTGAGATCGAGTTTCCCTCTTGTCGCCCAGGCTGGAGTGCAATGGCACCATCTCGGCTCACTGCAACCTCCACCTCCCGGGTTCAAGCGATTCTCCCGCCTCAGTCTCCTGAGTAGCTGGGATTACAGGTGCCTGCCACCATGCCCAGCTAATTTTTTCGTATTTTTAGTAGAGACGGGGTTTCACCGTGTTGGCCAGGCTGTCATGTAAAGTTTTTAAAGCTCAAAAGCAAACTCTAGATATAGCTGACAGAGTGATAACTTGAGAATTCCATTTGGTTGGTTGTATCCTACCTCAAAGTTGCCAATTTAATATTATTCAGTTAATAGTTTCCAAATAATAACAACCAACGCATACAGGAAACTACTTTAGAAAGGAACAAATGAATAAAAAACTAATTTATTCACCTTTATTTGGATGGATCTATGAGAATTATTGCTAAGCAATAAAAAGCAATTCTAAAGTAGTTATTTTAACTAATTCCATCAAAAATTTATATTTTAAAAAGTAATCAATCACATGATGAAACTTCTATGAATAATGGAATTATGACCTGATACTCAAATGAGACAAATGTATATTTTGTTGTTTTAAAAAATTAATCTCGGGACAGATCATCTGGAAAACAAAAAAACCTTTAACTGGAAAAGGTAATATCCTATGAACAACCACTGTAAGAATTACAAATCAGACGCATTAGACTAAACAATCCTAATTTTCAAAGTTTTAAATTTTAGAACCATTCTTAATTAGTATTACTAAACCAAACTGTTCATTGATTAACAATATCAGATTTAAAGGCTTTAATTAGAAGTGCATAGTTACACAGAGAACATTACAGTCATGGAAAAATAATTTCGCCAGTTCGAGTACTACTTGTTTACCTTTCTAACCTCACGATGAACCATATGTTTGAAGAAAATTGTGGGCCCTGATGAAAATTACTAAAAAAGGGGGAAAATAATTTAAGATACTTAACTCCTCAGTATTAAATATAAAAGCAGGAATATGAAACACCTTCATTTATGAAATGTCTAAACATAAATATACCATTATTTAACACAATATATTATAGTAAAAAGCTATGGAGGTTTAGGCAGAACCACAGTGTACAAATTCATTGTTTCTTCTCTCACATTGCATAAGTCCTATTATTTGGTTTTAGTTATTCCACACCCAAATTACACACACACACACACACACACACACACATCTATAAACCTGTATTTTAAACTATGAAGCCTTACGGATGGATTCTGACATTTTTCTAGTAGCTCAATAGCCAATTTCTCCAATTTTCCAATAAAATTTCATAGTGGCAATTTAAGAAGAAAACAAGAAATGCTGAATCAAACACATTTTATATATATTTTGGGACACAAGTCAGGAATGAAATCACTGACCTATAGAACTTTTGCATTCAAATGTAGAAGCACTCACTTTTGATTCTCTTTATTCAGATATCATCTTTAATATACATGATACATTTACAAACAACAATTGCTCTTCCATCCACATAGCTTTAAAAAATGTGACATAGTCAAGCACTTTAGTAATTACTCTAACAGGCATTTCTTTCAGATATTAACTTAAAATATATACAACTTATAAGAAATCTTACTTGGTTTTACAACTCTCTGGTAAAATGTCAGACAACTAGCTTTCTGCAGCACCAAAAAGACACAGTACTATGTAAGGCACCTCATTAGTGACTCATCTGTATGCTCCCATGATACCAGCACAGGAATCATCTCAGTCAAATTGACCACTTACTCTCAAAACCAAAAAGTACCCTCCCCACCAAAGATACCTAAAATTCATCATCACACATTCTCTACCTCAAATGCAAAAGAAGTAGACTACAGAATAAGAGAACTGACAAAAAAAAAAGTTATCAATAGTCACACTTAATACTATAAAGCTGGAATTTCCTAATGGAAATAAGCCTGAATGCTCTTTATTATGACTCCCAAGCCCCTCAAAAACAGCATTTTCACTAACTTTAACTGCTAGCTAATATTAACTTACAAGTCCATGGATCAACCCAAATTAAAAACTCCTGCTCTTAATAATTACAACTAATACCTTTACATTGGCAATAGAGATCTACAGTCTCCTATTCAAACTCTTTAGGCCAGTAGATGTGCTTCAGAACTGAGAATTTGGAAAATATTGCTGCAGAGAAGTATAATTTATAAATATTAACTCTCATGGGAAAATGATATAAATAAACACCAATATTAGCCTCACATCGCAGTTCAGTGTAAGTCATATTTTATCAACCAAATGAATTAGGGAAAAAAGTTCATGCCCAGGGGTGAGGCTACAGTGCCAGAACACTTACTTGTGCATAACTAAGGCGCCCTCTTCAAGCAGCCCTTTTAACTGGGAGCAAAGCGAAGACAGTAAAAAAAGAGAAAAGTTCAATTTTCAGGAATTTCTGAATTTCAGAATTGCACAGAAGGAATTGTGGACCTAAAATTGGGATGTTTTAAGAAGGTTTTTATCAAATGTTTAAAATGTTTCCCTATTAATGCAAATTAAACACATATGGATGGGAAGGTTTAGGTAATCAAGACTGTCAGCAGTTGTCAAAAGAGTCGTTTTGAAAATACATGAGAACATTTTCATTGTCACAATGAATGGACTTGCCAAAGGCCAGTGATGGTTAATATCCTGTACCAACTTTTAAATGTCCTCCAGCCCTGAAGTTGAAAAAAATTTTACAATTATCTAAGCCTAGAACCTAACTGTACACATATAAAGACAAAGGGATGGAGTTTTTTTACACAGTAGTTTAATAGACTGTAAATTAAGGGAAGATTAAACTTGTTTGAAATTTTCCCAAGTGTTGTCTCTCCACTTGAAAATATCTTGTCAAGGATAGCAATACCTTTTTTTTTCCCCCCCACAAAGATGTAAATATTTTTCTGTTTTCTTCTCATCACAAAGATACACACTTTGGCCTATACATGAGTTGATCAGAAATTTTGTGGACTAGCCTGGATATCTAAACACTACTTACAACATTGTTTCTATCAATTATTTAAAAAACTAAGTTGATGTCTTCTGAAATCAGGTTTATGGATAATGAATCACGGAAAATTGCTGACAATAATAGCTAGCACTACTTCAATATAAACTTAATTTACTCATATTTATAAGCACTAATATTATAATTCTTAAAAATTAAAAATTGAAGACTACATGGAATCAATTTTTTTCACATAATATACTGTCTGTAAAATTCAACATTAATGTGCTCATATTACTTTCATACCTAATCAATTGGGCATCAAGAGACTTTACCAATCATCTCTGTCAATTCTACCATTGCTAGTAATTCTTAATACTCAAGTTGGAATTTTGGGCCAATCTATTAAAACCTTGTTAGCATTTTTGTTTTCTCAAGCAAACACGTTTTTACCTACCCACACCTCTCAGTGCTAGAGAGCAACTTTTAGAAGCACTAGCAAACCACCACCAGTGGAATCGGATAAACACCGGTGATTCAGATAACTCCAGGAAAGATTTACCCTCCTGTGATTTTCCTAAATATCAGGGAAAGAAAACACATATATCCTATACTACTACTGTTATTTGAATGCTTGGTTTACATAGCACACTAATTTCTCTTTTCCACTAGTTTCCATAAATACTAAAGTATCAAAAAGTACTGCTTTTGGCTAAAAGTTTTCAAAACGACCATTATAGTTTCACACTAATTAAAAAAAGAAACCAAGCTACCAAACTTATATTCAGGCAAAAAAAATAGTTTTTTTTTTTCAATAAAATGTAGAAATATTTTAATTTACATATTACAATGAATCAATAAGGAGTCAAAATCCAGTTACACATTCATAAAAATTCCATATATCATCCTCAGAATAATCAGTTTCTGTACAAAGATTTACAGGTGTCCAAGTATGTAGTTTTTCCTCAGTGTGCTACAGAATTTAAAGGCTCTGCTCGAATATTCCCCAAATCAAGCACAGAATCTGTTTCTTCATCAATTTCTCCAATGACTGCAACGTTGTCACCTCTTACAATGTATAATCCCAGTACCACTTGCTCTACCCCCTCTGAAGAGCTGAATACTCGCTCATGGCTTTCATCCAAAATCAAATTAATGGTCTGGTCAAAACCTTTCAGTGTTCCCACAATCATTCTCCCATCAGATGTAATAACGGCAACAGTTGGGTTGACGTAGTTCTCCAAGGCGGAGGTCATGCTGCTCCGCCCGGCAGTTCGGGGTAACGCAGGGGTGCCGGCGACAAGCAGAACTGAAAGGGCGCGCCAGAACCCGGCAGCGGTTCGCGCCTGCGGGCCGCAGCAAATATCGTGAGAGTTACTGCTTACAGCAATGCCTCTCTTAATTATAATTTGGTTGCCAATCTGCATGAGTAGCAGTTGCATTCATGATGAGCCTACATCCGAGGGCAAAAGCATCATTCTCAACTCTGGCTGCACATGAGAACCATCTATGCCCAGGCCAACACCCTTAACCAATTAAATTAGAATCTCTAGAAGGCAGGACATAGGCATCAGTATTTTTGCTCTGTTTCATTGTTTGTTTTTGAGGTAAAGTTTATGTATAGTGAAATGCAGAGGTCTTAAGTGTACAACTCTATTGGAGTAACAAACACCCCAATCAAGATACAGGACATTTCCCCTACTCAGAAAGTACCCTCCTGCCCTACATCCAGTCAGTGCCCCCACTTTCCATAAGCAATCACTCTTCATATTTCTAATGCTATAGCCTCATTTCTGAACTTCATATAAACATAATCCATCACATAGTGTGTACTCTTCTGTACCTGACTTCTTTCACCAGACGTGTTTCAGAGATTCATTCATATTCATTTCATGAAAAAAGTAGTTCATTCTTTTTGACTGCAGAGTAGTATTCCTGTGTATGAACACACTGCAATTTGTTTATCTGTTCTTTCTGTTGACCAACAGCAGAGTTGTTTTAATTTGTGGACTATTAAAGCTGTTATAAATCTCCCTATACATTTTGGGGACATATTTTCACCTCTCTCGAGAAAATACCTAGGAGTGGAACTGGTGCAGCTGTATGTTTAATTTTAAAAGAAACAGGCATCAACTTTTTTTTACAGTTCCAGGTAACTCCAATGCAAAAAGCCTTAATGTTTTCTAATATGGTCATGGCAAAGTATTCTAACACTTTTGTCTGTCCCATGTTTTCTGTTCCAGTCAAGAAAAAATTATGTTGCTTTTTCTTTTTAAATCCTTTGTATGGGTTGGAAGATTATACTACCTATGAATTTCACTTGAAACAGAAAAAAGAGGCATTTAAATATATATGCTGTATAAAAGGGGGCACAGAGTCATAAGAGTCATATGATTTGAGAACCAGATGAATTTGACTGAATCTGTCACCAGAAAAATAAAAATGTATGTATAATTCCAATGTCATATTCAATTTGTATTTGAGAACTATGAAGTCCATCCTCAGAATACTTACAAGTCCACAGACCAACCCCAAATTAAAATCTCCTGCTCTTACATTAAATTCTATGAGTCTTGACTTCACTGTGTGTAAGATGACCAAAGATAGAAATCATAAAATATATTAAACTACATAAAACATATGACAAAGGACACTATCAATTGTGTTATTAAAAGTTATGAAATTGGCCGGGCGCGGTGGCTCAAGCCTGTAATCCCAGCACTTTGGGAGGCCGAGACGGGCGGATCACGAGGTCAGGAGATCGAGACCATCCTGGCTAACACAGTGAAACCCCGTCTCTACTAAAAACACAAAAAACTAGCCGGGCGAGGTGGCGGGCGCCTGTAGTCCCCGCTACTCAGGAGGCTGAGGCAGGAGAATGGCGTAAACCCGGGAGGTGGAGCTTGCAGTGAGCTGAGATCCGGCCACTGCACTCCAGCCCGGGCGACAGAGCAAGACTCCGTCTCAAAAAAAAAAAAAAAAAAAAAAAGTTATGAAATTAAAGAATCTAAATATTAAGACTTATTCTAAATCAATAAGAAAAAGATGGCCTCCATAGAAAAATGAAAAAAGGGCAATAAACACATGACTCCTAAAATGAAATAAAACCAGCCAAAATATTTAAGATGCTCACCTCATTAGATGAATTTTTAAGTGATCAAATTACCATTATTTCCACCAGATTGACAATTTAAAAAAAAAAAAACTCGTAACACCACGTGTTAGCTAGCATTATATAGACACATCTATTATCACACTCTTAGTGGAGGCATAGTATAAATGTCCTTGATGACAATTTGACAACATGTATAAATAAAGTTAATGTGTATACGCAATGTCTACTTTTAAAAATTTCTCCTTAGAAAGTACAGATGCTCCTTGACTTATGATGGGGGTTACATACCGATATAATTTCAACTTATAATAGGTTTAAGTAAAAAATGCATTTAATACATGTAACCTACCAAACATCATAGCTTACTCTAGCCTACTTTAAGCATGCTCAGAACACTTACATTAGATGCAGTTGGGCAGAATCACCAAACACAAAGTCTATTTTATAAGAAAGTGTTGAACATACCATGTACTCTACTGAATACTGTATTGAAAATGAAAAACTGAATGGTTGTATGGGTACTCAAAGTAGGATTTCCATTGAACATGTATTGCTTCACACCACCATAAAGTCAAAAAATCCTAAATTGAACCATCCAAAACTGGGGACAATCTGTACTAAAAAATCACCTAGACATATGTACCAGAGTTTCACAAAAAGGGTTAAATTATAATAGCAAAAAATAATGGGAGAGGGTGCTAAATAAATATACCTTAGTAGTGGTTGGTTAAATATAGTCTGACTCATCCAAGCAACTACATTCTAAGCTGCTTGTAATATTATTACCATACACAAAGAGCAGCATGGTTATACTACCTTGAAGAAGGCCAGGCACGATGGCTCACACTTGTAATCCCAGCACTTTTCAAAATCCCCGTTTTAGGTGTATTGTGAAGATTACTGGTGATATGACAATGTCATTTCCAAGTGGAATTATTAAAGTCTTCACCAGAAATTCAACTCCAGCTATGTTGTGCTTCAGGGTGAAAAAATATCAGCAGACTAGAGCAGATTCTTCCAAATGCACAACTTGTGTTCAGGTTTATACACCTTTTGTTTTGAAGGTTGAAATTTCTTTTTAAGAAATTTTTTCCTGCCAGGGGCAGTGGCTCACCCCTGTAATCTCAACACTTTGGGAGTCTGAGGCAGGTGGATCACTGGAGCCTAGGAATTCGAAACCAGCTAGGCAACATGGCAAAACACCACCTGTACCAAAAAAAAAAAAAAAGTACAAAAATTAGCTGGGCGTGGTGGCATGTGTCTGTAGTCCCAGGCTGAGGTGGGAGAATCGCTTGAGCCTGGGAGGCAAAGGTTGCAGTGAGCTGAGATTGCGCCACCACTGCACTCCAGCTTGGTGACAGAGCGAGACTCCATCTCAACAAAAAAAAAAAAAAAAATCTTAAATGCTGTATGATTATTAATCACCCCAGTTCAGTGAAAAGATAAGTAAATGAATGCATGCATGCATGCTATATGGGCATTTAAAAAACATCACCACTACCACCACACACACACACCCCCCCCCCCGAAGGGCCTTCGTTTCTGATCCCCAACTACCACAGGATTCAATAATGTAGTAGACACTCTACCACAGAGAGCACTCCTAATATCCAACAACAGCCACATTCTAACATAACATTAGACAAATGTGAACTCTTCTTGCTATACAGTGGTCTCCCCTTGTTAGGGGGTGAATACATTCCAGATCCCTCAGGAGACACCTGAAACCACAGATAGCATCGAACTCTATATATACCATGTATTGTTGCTCTAATAACTGAAACAGCTACTACTAAGTGACTAATGGGCAGGTATCATATATGGATACGCTAAACAAAGGGATAATTCACATCTTGCCCTGGATGGTGCAAGATGGCACAAGATTTCATCACTCTACTCGGAACAGCATGCAATTTCAAACTTATGAATTATTTCTGGAATTTTCCATTTAATATTTTTGGACTGTAGTTGACTGCGGGTAACTGAAATTGCAGAAGGCAAAGCATCATGTAAGGGAAAACCATTGTAGTTGTCACTGAATTCTAACAACTTACTGACTTGAAGTTACCTCTTGTCCGATAGCCAAAATCACCTGGGATATGAGAAAATTTTCTCAAAGAAACACATATATCAATCTATATTCTGATGTTTGTTTGTTTTTTTCTCGGTTTTGTTTTGTTTTGTTTTGTTTGAGATGGAGTCTGTCGCCCAGGCTGGAGTGCAATGGCACAATCTTGGCTCACTACAACCTCTGCCTTCCAGATTCAAGCGATTCTCCTGCCTCGGCCTCCCAAGTGGCTGGGATTATAGGCATCCACCACTGCACCCAGTTAATTTTTCTATTTTTAGTAAAAATGCGGTTTCACCATGTTGGCCAGGCTGATCTTGAACTCCTGACCTCAAGTGATCCACCCACCTCGGCCTCCCAAAGGGCTGGGATTACAGGTATGAGCCACCATCCCTGGTCCCCCAGAGTTGATTTTCTTTTCAAGAAGCAGATTACAACAATTGAGAAGCAATGCCAAAAGCTAAAAAATTCAATGTTTCTAATTCAGCACATACTTTGTAGACACAAAAATTCCTAAATATTCTCAGTGGCCCCCATATTTGCTACACAATTGGTTGGCATTTTTTTTAAATCTGAACCATTTTAAAACATTTTTTAACATAAAAGTCCTAAGAATCTATGGTGCACTTTTTGTTTTGTTTTTATAAGATGGAATCTCGCTCTGTTACCCAAGCTATAGTGCAAGAGGGGCAATTTCAGCTCACTGCAACCTCCGCCTCCCGAGTTCAAGCGATTCTCCTGCCTCAGCCTCCTGAGTAGCTGGGATTACAGGCGCCCACCATCATGCCTGGCTAATTATTGTATTTTTAGTAGAGAAGGGGTTTCACCATGTTGCCCAGGGTGGTCTCAAACTCCCGACCTCAAGTGATCCCCCCGACCTCAGCCTCCCAAAGTGCTGAGATTACAGGTGTTAGCCACTGCACCTGGCCCACAATGCGTATTTTTTTTCAGTTCTGAAAAACCTCATTCTTTGAGCAAAGATATTCCTGCTAAAACCGTTTCACATTCAATTTTTAAACTTTTGTGGGACATGCCAACCTCAATAAATAATCACATTTGTAGTATATTTATCAAGATAAGTGCTATATATTCATAAAAGCAAATTAACACAAAAAAGAAATAGTATGAAGTAGTATTTACAGCACTATGAAAAAAATCAAACTAAAATGTTACAATGTTTATCATTTTCATTAAATTGAATCCTCAAATGTGATGTACTCAGGTCCATATGTAACCAAAACTGGACTGGCAAGATTAAGTCTGACATGTAACAAAGGGCTCCCTCACTTTCTAATACAGTATAGTACTCTCATCTGTTACTCTCATCTCTCGTACAACATACTTTCCCAAGAGTCAATGCACAGACTAAAATGACTAATTTTCACCAATTCCTACATGTTTTTCAAGCACAGGACACAACCTCTGCAACAGGAGTTGCAGCTCAGTTTTTCTTCCTTCTCCTCTCCCCCACAGATTATTTTCAAAATTTATTGAATATAATCGAGAACAATCTGAGGTGAGAGTAGAACAATCTGGGGGCGGGGGGGTAGATTACATGCACTTTTAATATATCATCTCAATCAAAGACAAGCTGATTCCCTCCACACATCATTATTACCCAACTGTCAGTCAGCAAACTAAACCCAACTTGCAGCTACTGTGTTCTTTGGTCACCACAGTTTTAAAAGGAGTAGCTGGTAGGGAAGTAAAGAGTGTAGGGAAACCAACATTCTGAAATCAGTAAGTTTTACATTTTAAAAAAGAATCCAGGTCTATAATGTCTGGAGGAGGGGGGGTCTAATTTCATGTACAGGCACAAAAGAATGTGTAATTAATGTTCTACAATCCCCCACAGCCTAAACATTCCTAGCTTATATGCAATATGAGACGTGTTAGCTTTTGAATGTGCCACCTCTGCTTTACATCAAAGGACTGACAACCAAAAACTATTCCCAGATAATCCATGTCTTAATATCAGCAAGCTTCTGGTTTCAAAACAACTGGAAAGAAAAAATTCACTTGGGTGGCTGAGTAAAGTAGAACTATCAAGAAAAGCTTAGGAAATAATTGAAATCAAATCTCCCCACAATGTTTGTATTATATTTTTTTAAAAAGCATAATAAATCCCAGTTGAATTTTCCCAAGGTAGAGTATTGTGACTTGGATGACCACTGTAGTTTTCAAGAAACAGAAACGTAGCAACATGAATCCCTTAGACCTAAACAACAGTGGCTCCAGCCCTGGATTCCTTGAGTTATGGGGTACCACTCCAGCTATACAACCCTCCCCATGAAGCAAGGAGTCTATTGCGCCAAGAGGACTTGTCTAACTGGAGCACATGTTTCATCCCCTAACGCTACATCATTCTGTGGGTATGCAGGAACCTAAAATATCTACCCAGACAGCCCTCAACAAGCTTCCAAAGCCTCTTTCACCAGATCAGTCCTCCAGAAAGAAAACTATACCAACTAGACTGTGTATTCTTAGGCTTGAAGGCTACCAAGAGGCAACTGTATGCAGAGGGTGTGAACAGAGTTGAACATGTTGCTT